ATAAGAGACTCTTAATCATAGGAAGCAAACTGAGGGTTGCTGGAGAGGAGGGGGGTGAGGCGATGGGATAACTGGGTGATGGACATTAACGCAGGCATGTGATATAATGAGCACTGGGTATTATATAAGACTGATGAGGGGCGCCTGGGTGGCTCAGTCGTTAAGCGTCTGCCTTCGGCTCAGGTCATGATCTCAGGGTCCTGGGATCAAGCCCCGCATTGGGCTCCCTGCTCAGCGGGAAGCCTGCATCTCCCTCTCCCACTCTCCCTGCTTGTGTTCCCTGTCTCACTGTGTCTCTCGCTGTTAAAAAATAAATAAAATCTTAAAAAAAAAAAAAAAAAAGACTGATGAATCACTGAACTCCACCTCTGAAACTAATACATTATATGTTAATTAACTAAATTTAAATTTAAAATATAAAATTAAAATAAAAAAAAAGAGTTGGAGGCTTAACTGACTCAGTCACCCAGATGCCCCAAGTTACCATTTTTATTATATATATATATATTTTTAAAATTTTATTTATTTATTTGAGAGAGAAAGAGAAACAGCATGAGAGGGGAGAGGGTCGGGGAAAAGCAGGTTCCCCACTGAGCTGGGAGCCCGATGTGGGACTTGATCCCAGGACTCCAGGATCATGACCTGAGCGGAAAGCAGTTGCTTAGCCAACTGAGCCACCCAGGCGCCCTCTTTTTTATATATATTTTATTTTACAGAGAGAGAGAGAGTGAGAGAGAGAGAGCACAAGCAGGGGGAACAGCAACTAGAGGGAGAGGGAAAAGCAGGTTCCTCACTGAGCAGGGAGCCTGATGCTGGGTTCAATCCCAATCATGCATGACCTGAGCCAAAAGCAGACACTTAACCAACTGAGCCACCCAGGTGTCCCTTATTATATTTTCTTAATTGTGATGATTCAACCAACCATATCACATGGTTAAGATGAAGTAATCTGAAGGTTTCTTTCTTGTATCACAAAGGCACAAGAAGGAATGCTGCACTTTCAAGACAATTTGTCAAATTGTAACTTAAAAACTGGGAAGAATACATGGAATACTGGAGTGAACTGATCACCAAAATAAGTTAAATAAAATGTAACAGAAATAAGTACACAGTGCCAAATTTAGGTTCAATAGATCATTATTTAATACAAGGACTCTTGGGTAAACAGCAGTACTTTATTTTCAAAAAATGACTCTGGGGATGCCTGGGTGGCTCAGTTACGCATCTGCCTTTGGCTCAGGTCATAATCCCAAGGTCCTGGAATCGAGTCCTGCATCAGGCTCCTTGCTCAGCGGGGAGCCTGCTTCTCTCTCTGCCTGCCACTCCCGCAGCTTGTGTTCCCTCTCTCTCTGAAAAATAAATAAATAAAATCTTTATTTAAAAAAAAAAACCCAAAAAATGACTCTGGCTTTACTGAGGAAAAATAAAATTACTATTTACCAGAGAGAGCATTTGTGAACTACTGAAGAGCAAAAAAGAACCCATACTCAAAGAAGATAAGAAAAAAGTGTGTGTTCGTTGACACAATAGTGTAATGGTGTTACAGTATAAAATTTAGAAGGCAAAAATAAACTGAGAATGTTTTATAAGGATATGCTCTATAAGACCAGAAGTCGCAGATATTATCTGTAATACAGAAACCGGACTAGAGCTGCAAAGAAAAAATTTTAAGTACCTGTTAACATTTTAGGATAATCTAAAAGAGGGATCAGCAATCTATAGTCTCTAGTCCAAACCCAATGTTGTCACCTGTTTCTAGATCACCAGTTTCTACTGGAGAATAGTTTTTACAGATGAATATTTGTGAGCAACTTGTTAGAAAACATCAACTTTTAACTCTAGTTAAGAAAAATGCCACTCCTAAAAAGAAATTCCATTCCTCTCATGGATTTGTATTGCAAAAAATTTTACTCATTTATTATATTTTAAACTTCATTACTAAAATTTTTTGTGAGAATTTTTCTTTCTTGTTATCTCAGTACCTCTATAATATCTTTGATTTTGCCTCTTGTCCTGCAAAGCCTAAAATATTTACCATTTGGGCCTTTACAGAAAAAGTTTGCCAATACTTTGTTCTCTTAAACACTATAGATGGGGTCAGTGGAGACCACTAAGGACTCACCAGACCAGTAAATTAAAACTAACTTTCTTAGTGAGAAAAAGTTGGTGGCGAACTAGGCTGTAGTTTCTACAATTTACTCAAAGCGAACAGGGCTTGTCAATTAGTTATATTATATGTTCATTTTACTAGGGAATCTATGTTTTTTTTTTTTCTAAAGAATTTTTAAATTTATTCATTTGAGACAGAGAGATACAGCGAGAGAGAGAACAGGAGCAGTGGGGAGAAGCAAAGGAAGGAGAAGCAGACTCCCTGCTGAGCAGGGAGGCCGATGTGGGGCTCGATCCTAGGACCTAGAGATCATGCCCTGAGCCAAAGGCAGGCGCTTAACCATCTGAGCCCGAATCTACGTTTTAAAACACAGTATGCTTATTGTATTATTCTTAAAATACACCCTTATTATTTTTATTTTTTTTTAAGATCTTATTTATTTGACAGCAAGAGAGACAGCGAGAGAAGGAACACAAGCAGGGGAAGTGGGAGAGGGAGAAGCAGGCTCCCCACGGAGCAGGGAGCCCGATGCGGGGCTCGATCCCAGGATCCTGGGATCATGACCTGAGCCGAAGGCAGATGCTTAACTGGCTGAGCCACCCAGGCACCCCAAAATACACCTTATTTAAAAAATACACCCTTATTTTTAAAATGCTAAATCTAGAACCTCAATCAAGTATTGTTTATGGACAGAACATCTGAATTTAGATGCACCCTAATGAGCCTCAAACAATCACTCAGACATAACTGAAGCATAAGAGTACATAAGAGTAAGAAAAAGAGGGGTGCCTGGGCAGCTCAGTCATTGGGCATCTGCCTTTGGCTCAGGTTATGATCCCAGGGTCCTGGGATCAAGCCCCTCCTGGGGCTTCCTGCTCCGTGGGAAGCCTGCTTCTCCCTCTCCCACTCCCCCTTCTTGTGTTCCCTCTCTTGCTGTGTCTCTCTTGCTGTCAAATTAATAAATAAATAAAATCTTTAAAAAAAAAAGAGTAAGAAAAAGAATTCCTTTTTTAAAGTAGATTTATTTGGACATGGTGACAGAATATATACCGTAAGACCACATCCAACTATTAACTCAAGGATCCTGAATTTATCTGAAAAATAGTCAAGAACCAGGTAGAAGCAAAAAGAACTTTGAGAAATCCAAATGTCACAAAGTCTATGCACTGAAGCACATGCACCTAAGAGAGATGGTTAGTCCTTAGTCATAGCTTCCATGTTCTAACTGCACATAATTCTATTAAGCTTAGAAATGGTTTTCAAAGCAGAAGCAAACTAGAAATTTCAAAATAAAGTTGGGAGAAGAGAGGCTGCTGACAGCAACAAAAACAGGGATTGTCAATACATAACAAAACATGATGAGGAATAGTCTGCCAGCAACAGAATAGGTAGAAAAGCAGACATAAAACTTTAAACGTGTAGCAAGTGTATAAATTAGTAAGAAAGTGAAAGAAAGTAAAGGGCGCCTGGGTGGCTCAGTAGGTTAAAGCATCTGCCTCAGGCTCAGGTAATGATCCCAGCAATGGGCTCCCTGCTCAGTGGGGAAATCTGCTTCTCCCTCTGCCCTTCACCCTGCTCATGCTCTCTCTCAAATAAATAAATAAAATCTTAAAAAAAAAATTGTGTAAAATAAACTAGTATAGAAGCAAATAGTCCAAAATGTCTCAGTAGGCCCTGAGTACATCCCTGTATTATGGAATATTTCGGATTGATAATAATTGTATTGATCTCAAGATAAAATATAGATAAAATTGCAATACATATATTCCGTTTAGTAAATCGGGGACCAGAGAAATACACTGCCCAAAAGAGTTTCAAACAAAGTGGTTAAAATGAAAGTTTGGTGCTTAAGAGAGACAAATGTGCAAAAATTAACATGGTCGTTGACAGCTTAACTGTGTATTAATTTACTTGATAAATTGTTTCAAACACAATAATATTTAATTCCGTTTTCCTAAAGACAAAAATAGTTACTTAACTAAGTAGTAAGAGACAAACTGAACAATTCTGAATTACTGTCCATAAAGTAGGATCAAAATAACCAGAAATATAAGGGTCGAAGTACAGTTCATCCTTAAACGCTAAGAAATTAGTCTTTATATGTTTGGCATAGGAGAAAGGTATGCTCGTTTTGTACAGGTTTACTTGCTAACGAAGTATCAAAAAGTTATCACGCAATTAAGTCAATAGTAAGAGAGGTTTCTTCAAGTATCGATTAAAACCATCATTTCGGAACTTTTGTGAAACGTGTAAACTGATGAGCTCCGTAGAGGGACGCAGAATGCGGTGGTTTAATGGCCGCGACACTGTTGGCAGTGAAGGGCCAAGAGGCAGTGTGAATTTCTCTAACACCTTCACCAGAACTCGCTGGCTCATCGCGCCGCGCGACGAAATCTCTTTCCTCGGCAGCAGGAGCACATCACCCGGTCTCGCGCGACCGGCCACAGCCTCCCGCCGCCCTGAATCCCACGTTCGGGCCCGTGAGGCTGACGCCGGGAAAGGGGCCAGTGGCAATAGTGCAGGAAGGTGAGGGGGCCTTCCCCCAACATCCGCTCACCTGCTTCCGGCTGTGCGGTCGCCTAAGAGTGGCTCTTGCTCTGCCTCGATCCCCAAGCTCGCCATGGTTACGCCGCCCACGAGGCGGTGTGAGGCCAACTCTCGCGACACCTCCTGCTCCCTCCCATCCCAGTTGGCCAAAGCTGTCAAAACAAGTCAGCAAGTGCGCGTGCGTGCCCGGCAACTGGAAGTGGGCGGAGCGCCCCGAGGTCAGAGAGAGAGTCGCGGGGGAGTCCGGAGCGCGCCGGGCGGGAAGAAATCAGGGGCGGGGCCCTGTGTCCTAGCCCTCCTCCTGAGGTCCGCGTTTCTCGGCCACCCGGGACTGCTTGGGAGACAACCGGGGAGGGTTCAGGGCGTGTCTAAACGGCTGCCCCGCCCCGGGCTCGTCCCTCTCTCTAGGCTTGGCTGTCTGGGCCTCTCATTCTTGGGTTCCTGGAGAGGTTGCTGTCACTGCATTTGTGGCTCCGACGGAAGGCAAGCCCTGGGAGCCAGGGAAAGGACAGCGCCAGGAGGCTCTGCTGGCTGGACAGCAGGTGCCCTAAGAACGGACAGTGAGTAAGTAGCCGGTCCAGGCCGCGGTCCCCGAGCCTCTCGACACACTGCGTACGTGCCAGGAGGCAGGGACGGGGGACGCAGGGCTTGGCGGGAGACGCGGCGGTCCCGGGCGCTGGACGAAGCGGGGTTTTAGGGCGCGCTTTGGCCGACCCGAGTGAGTTAGGCTGGCGGGCGGTCTCTAATCCCCGTGGAAGGTGGAATTGTCTTGGCGCTGTTGGTTTTCTCGCTCGGCTAACTACAAAGGCTAACTACCTTCCCTGTAGTGCCTTGTTCTAATCTGGGGATCCTCAGATCGGCATCTCACTCTCTCCTGCGCCTACTGGGGGATTCAGTCTTGCAAGATACCACTAGCAGACGCTGCTGCTGTAATCTAGGGGTTAGAAAAGGCCCAGCACCAATTTAGCAGTGACCAGCACCTTTCATCATAAAGAAAATGCCATTTTTAGAAAAAACTTGTGTTTTTTTGTTTGTTTGTTTCAGTAGGTCTTGATGCTGTCTCTTTCTGGTGCTTACATATTAACATGTTACTTTTCTACAAGTAGGCTTGTAAGGTAGTTGGTAGCAGTAGTCATAATTGTTTTATTAGTGCTAGTACATTCTCATGTGATCTCACTTGATTACAACTTTCCTATGAGATAGATAATGCAGACATATTTCTATTTTATAGAGAACTAAGATTCAGAGAAGTTGACAACTTACCCAGAGTCACTTGGACTGAAAGTGGCAGAGTTGGGACTCAATTCAATTCTTTCAACCAATATTTATAAGCAGTTACCTATGCCAGACCCTATATTAGTTATCTGTTGTGTAGTATGTGCCATCACTTGTAACCTTTGTCTTGTTTGTGACCTTCTTGTGTGTATCCTGTCAGGGACATTCCACTCGTGAGCAGCTAAATTTGAAATGTGTTTTCTGTTAGTTCAGAACTGTTTTCTGAATCCAGACCTGATATATTTGTGCTTGGATTCAGTCTTGCAAATTTGTTTCTAACAGCTCAAAAAACTTATCAGATTCCTATGACTGGTTCCAAGAAGGTATATAGGTTAAAAAAAAATTAATATATATTTTTTTGCCATAATGTTGCTTTAATGTATCATTGACTTCTAATCCCCTAAGTCTGGCATGTGTGTGTGTGTGTGTGTGTATTTCACAAAGGGACTTTTAATCAGGATTGCACCAAGCAGAATAATTGCTAGATGAATATATGTTGAGTGAGTGCTTATTGATTTGCCTCATTTAATCCCTACAACAGTCTTCTGAGTTGGGATTGTGTCAAGCATACAAGGAAAGCGAAAGCATGGAGAATAGTTCATTTTCCTAGGGTCACACCACAAATAAGTAACAAAGCAAGAATCCAAGAAACACAGGACTCCTGAATGTAAAGCCTGTGCTTTTTCACCAGCAGCCTTACTATGAAAAGAATTTTAAGAAGAATCTTTTCCTGTATCTCTTTTTTTTTTTTTTTAAGATTTTATATATTTGACAGAGAGAGACACAGCGAGAGAGGGGAACACAAGCAGGGGGAGTGGGAGAGGGAGAAGCAGGCTCCCGGACGAGCAGGGAGCCCGATGCGGGGCTTGATCCCAGGACTCTGGGATCATGACCTGAGCCGAAGGCAGACGCTTAACCACTGAGCCACCCAGGCGCCCCTCCTGTATCTCTTAAAATATATTAAAACAGGTGATCAATTTTTATATAAATCGAATAATTTGCAACTGTGTGTATAGTAGGCCAGTTATTATTCCCCTTTTATAGATTAAGGTGGCATCAAGGTCACATAGCTAGTGAAGGAACCCAGGTCTTCTGACACTGCTATTTTCCATTGCCACCTCCAAGTGATGGCTTTAGACCACGAAAGTATATGGAATGAGTGTGTAAAACTGGTGAAATCTAGGGGCGCCTGGGTGGCTCAGTCGTTAAGCATCTGCCTTCGGCTCAGGTCATGATCCTGGGGTCCTGGGATCGAGCCCCAGCAGGAAGCAGGAAGCCTGCTTCTCCCTCTGCCACTCCCCCTGCTTGTGTTCCCTCTCTCGCTGTGTCTCTCTCTGTCAAATAAATAAATAAAATCTTAAAAAAAAAAAGGTGAAATCTAAATAAGCTCTGTGTATTGTACCATAGGGAAAAAAAGAAAGAAAAAAATCATTTCTTAGGAACAGTGCACCTAAACAAAGTAAACATTTAAGAAATGTTTTAAAAATCATGATTACTTTCTTAAAAGCCATGGAAAAGAAGAACTAAGTTTGAAAAGAGATTAGATTATTTGCTAAATGTTTCACATGAGGATATGAGACAATCACCTGTTGAATTTCCTTAGATGACTGCTTAGAATAGATATCCACCCTTCAAAACAAATGAACAAATAAACTTCCTATTTATGTATCAACTTTATGAGGATAAGAATCCAGAAAAAAATTAGGATTGCATTGTGTAAATGCTTAAGTATTAGAGTGATAGGAGATAAAAGTACTATATGGCATACAGATACTGAGTGCCGCTTCAGCAATAGAGCTCATTTCTAGGAAAGACTTCATTCCTTGGCACTGTAATAGAACTTCTACTTTTGTAGAAGTTTGTTTTTGTAGAAGTACTTTGAGTTTTCCTTTGGCATTGGCTATATAAAAATATAGATGACGGGGCGCCTGGGTGGCTCAGCTCTTAAGCGTCTGCCTTTGGCTCAGGTCATGATCCCAAGGTCCTGGGATCAAGCCCCACATCGGGCTCCCTGCTCGGTGGGAACTGCTTCTCCCTCTCCCACTCCCCCTGCTGTGGTCCCTCTCTTGCTGTGTCTCTCTCTGTCAAATAAATAAATAAAATCTTTAAAAAATATATTTATATATATATATAGATGACAGTTGTTATCAGTTTGACTTGATACATACTTCAAAAATGGGTCTGTCTCTGCAGAAGCTCACTGGTGTCAATCCAGCCTGAAGTAGATGCTTTAAGTATCTGATGTGGCTCTAGATGGTGCCTCTTTTGGTGAACTGGAGTTATCTTTACTCTGGACTTGTATCTGTTCATGGTGGCACGGGATAGCAGTTAGCCCTACCTAGACTTACGTGTTTAGAACGTCCCAGAAAACCTGGACATTAATATTGTTCTTGGGACTGAAATGGGATTTAAGAAGTTCTTTGTAATCCTCAACTCTATAGCCAAACTTACAGCAGGTTATGTGTGTGTTTGATTTACTTTCTGTAACTTATTGGTCAGTGGTTTACTGCAGGTAAATATAGCAAGGAATATGCTGGCTCTAGATTTGAGGTGCTGATTGTTATGGCCCATATTATATGGAATTAAAGTGATTTGGAAAGCTCTTCTGGTATAGGGTTGAAAATTAGAAATGACTAAACAACTTAGACATATAATAAACAATGCTACTTTACAAAATATTCAAAAAGTTCATTGTTCTTAGGTCCTTTCCTGCTTCTCTTGAACTTTTTACTTTTGTATATTTGCCTTTGATTACCATCTTAGAAGAATATTGAGTAGAAAAATGGGATGTTTCATGAACAGTTTTCTTCTTACTATAAAATACAAGTGTTGGAATTTTGGGGTTATTTATTTATTTATTTTAAAGATTTTATTTATATATTTGACACAGAGAGAGCACAAGCAGGGGGAGCAGCAGGCAGAGGGAGAGGGAGAAGCAGGCTCCCTGCTAAGCAAGGAGCCCAATGCAGGGCTCGATCCCAGGACCTTGGGATCATGCCCTGAGCCAAAGGCAGCAGCTTAGCCAACTGAGCCACCCAGGCGCCCCAGAATTTTGGGATTTTTTTAATGCTAATATGGAATCTGCTATTGATGTGTTTATGTTACAAAGGAAGACATTAACCCCCATCCTTTTCCAGCCACTATAGAGAAAATAAATGGCCCATGATGATGAAATGTTATATGGCAGAGTTGATGGGATGACGCTCCCATGGTTACATTAAGTTATATTAGACTCTGCCTTGCTAGAACACTCAGTCTCACTCTCCTGTTGGCCTTGAAGAGGTAAGCTGCCCTTTTGTGAACGTCTATGGAGAGAGTCACCTGGTAGGGAACCATGGATAGTCCCTAAGAGCTCAGATTGGCCTCTGGCTGACAAATAGTAAAATACTGAAACTCTCAGGCCTATAGCTGTGAAGAAATGAATTCTGCTAACAAGCTGAGTGGGCTTGTAAGCAAGTTTTTCTCCAGTCAAGCTTCCAGATGAGAATACAGCCCAGCTGACACCTTGATTGAAGCTAGATGAGACCCTAAAGCAGAAAACCCATGTAGGCTGGATTCTTGGAAACTAATCCTCAAGAAAGGGGAATTGAGAGGATGGGGGAAACAAAGAGGTCTATTCTTCAAATTCTTCTATTTAAAGGCGTTAGTGAGGTGTTTAGATATTTAAATTATGCCGTAGCATTTTTTTGAAGAGAATAATACATGCTTTGAGTTCTGTTCTTAGATCAGTAGGATAATGAACTACTTATACTTACTGAGAAAGTTACCAAGAGGGAAAGAAATTAACTTCTGAAGAATTTTGTAAAGAGACTATCAAATTAACTCCAGTTTCTTAATTTTTCCATTATTTTTACTGTGGTAAAATTTACCATCTTAACCATTTTTAAGGGTACAGTTTAGTGGTATTAAGTTCAGTCATACTGTTGTGCAAACATTACCACCCTTCATCTGTAGAACTCTTCATCTTGCAAAACCAAAACTCTCTACACATTAGACAATACCCACCCCTTTTCCTGTCCCCTCAGCCCCTGGTAACCACCATTCTGCTTTCTGTTTATGAATCTGGCTGCTCTAGGAACCTCATATAAGTAGAATCATACAGTATTTGTCTTTTTGTGACTGGCTTGTTTCACTTAGCGTAATGTCCTCAAGGTTCTTCCACATTGTAGCATATGTTAGAATTTCATTCCTTTTTAAGGCTGAATAATATTCCATTGTATGTATACCCCACATTTTGCTTATCTATTCATCCATTGACAGACACGTGGGTTTTTTCCACCTTTTA